CCCCCCCCCCCCCCTAACCCTCCCCCTAAACCCCCCACCCCAGCCCCACCCTTTCCCCCCTACCCTAGCCCCCCCTCCCTACCCTGGCAGTGGGGTGGGGGTTTAGGGAGGGTTAGGGGGTAGAAACCGTCATTTTTTCAAACGGGGCACCGTAGATATCCAAACGAATTGGTGTAAGTAAATGACACCAATAGCACTGGCGTCATTTTAGACTTACTCAAAGAACTTTCACCAATTGATGCTGTAAAACATATAACAAAAAGTGCAATTAACAGCTAAAATTTAATAAATATGTTATATATATAATTTTAGTATAGAATATTGAATAGACCAATACAATATACTCATGAAAAGACTAAAATCTAATAACCAGCATATTTTAACTTATTACTTAATATATTTATGGTTTTTAGCTCCCCGTCACAAATCCATTTCTGAATATGTCTATATTCACAGTGGCTTCTCATGGCTGCATATTTGGTGCATCAAAGTGAGTTTTGTTTTTCCCTAAAAAAATCCATTGGAAGTGCAAAAAACTTCACTCTAAGACTAAAACGAGATACAAATAAAAAATACAAATAATAACGTCATAGTCATTTAAGGGAAATTACATACTGAAAGCATAAGTTGACTAGGGATGGCAACGGGTCGGGTTCGGTTCGGATAAACCTTTACCCGAAACCAACCCAAAATTTTGATCGGATATTTTTTTTGCCTGAACCCGAACCGCCGAGTATAAATTCCTACCCGAACCCGACTGCCTAAACCGAAACCCAAAACCCCAACCGAACCTGAGAATTTGACAAAAACCTAAGCCTAACCCGACTTGAAAACCGACCGACCTGACTGACTGACCGACTGACCATACCAATATCCTAATAAATCAGGTTTTTGTAATGATTTTTATTAAAATAATGATAAAATAATAAATGCATGTAATGATATAATTAGAATTCCAATACATAAAAACATTTGAACATTCAAAGACATCGTAAAATTAAGATATTAAAAAAGATGTGTCCCAAATAACAACCAAAACATGGAAGTATAATTTAAGAAATATGATCTTCTTGTACTGGATAACATTTCACAAGAGAAACAACACACATAAATATAACAAGTTTTCACAAATATTTTTCAAATCACAAAACATGTGACAAAGGAGAAATTGAACTTCCAATCACAAGATCAAATGTCATCCTCGTCACTTTCAACATCTCCATCCTAAAAATAAATAAAGTTGTTAATGTTAAAAGAAATATTGAATGAAAATATATAAGGACTAACTCTTTATGTGATAAACAATTACCTCTTCATTAATCTTTTCTTCTTGGACATCTTCATCAACGAAAATGCTTGAACATCTTAAGGCATTATCCTTGCATGTGTCTATAACATAACTCAAGCATAAAAATTATCATTGGAAATGGAGAATATTATTCAAAAAAAAATAATGTTGTGTTTTACCTTGAAATTGTGATAATCTCAAACTTTTAAGACACATTAGTGCTTCCACTGTTTTGGGAAGTAGTCGACTTCGACTAGGACTAATTTAATGATTCTACCACTTGCACTAAAAGCACTCTCTGACGCTACTGAAGTAATAGGGATGGCCAAAATGTCTCTAGCAATCATTGAAAGAATAGGATATCGTTTTGCCACAACACTCCAATACACCAAGATATCAAACTTTTCGGGATCTGCTATCATCACATCATCATCTAAATAAACATCAACTTCTGATCTTAAATGCTTCTTCCTTGGCATCGTGGAGACATGTCTTTCCCACTCCCTTTCATCCAAATCAGAACTATCTCGTGTCACATTACTAACATTTGAAGATGAAATGTTCTCTTCACTTCTCTTAAAAGATCACCTCTTCTCATAATCACCTACCAAAGCTTCCAACTTTTTTTTTACTTTCTCACACTCAGTGCTAGCACGTGCTCCATAAAGTTTCTCAAAGTAAAAAGTAACATGTTCCATCTTTTTTCTAGGATCCAACAAAGATGCTAAAGCTAAAGTACCATTAATCACCCCCCAATATTTGTCAAACTTCTCGCTCATTTTATCATCCATTGTTTTGATAAATATAGACTTTGATGCTTGCCAATTAATCAATGCGAGTCTAATTTGACAAACTCTTTGAAAATACAAATTGGCTGTGGGGTAATTTTGGCCAGAGAAACAAATTGTTACCTTAGAAAAAATCACCAACTTATCACAAACCTCACGGGCTTTTTCCCACTCACTTTCATCAGGTAAAACAAACTTTTCATTCTTCAGACTTTGTCTCAACCTGTAAAAAGCATCTTTATACAACAATGCAATTTCAAGCATCTCATATGTCGAATTCGATCTTGTTTTTGAGTCTACGATCAATCTTTTTGTTTCTGGAATCTTACAATACCTAACAACACTTTCAAACTTTTCATACCGCTTAGGTGTAGCAACCCAGTAGAAACTTTTCATGCCGCTTAGGTGTAGAAACTTTTCAAACTTTCTCAATGCCCTTACCAATAACACTCAACCCATCTTGAAGAATCAAATTTAGTATATGTGCACAACATCTCATTTGCAAAATATCGCCTTGCAAAATTAACTTAGACGGATTCAACTTCTCAAGCAAATCATTAATTATCCCATCATTCGTTGTGCAATTATCAAGGGTGATAGCCGATACCTTCTCATTAACCTAGACCTTACCCCACCATACTTGGTGGTTTGCCCACTGGGATTAAAAAAAATACCCTTGCAAGTGTCTCGCTGGTGTGTGGAGCTAGCACATATATAAACCTACAAAGGAGATATTGATATTAATAAACATCATATATAATACTCGTGAAACAATCAACATTCACATATATGGAGCAAAAGAAAGTAGATAATTTTATTACATTATAATATTTACCTCAAAATGTGATGTTCTAACTTCCAATCATTATCAATAAAATGTCCCGTCACTGCCATATAACCTTTCTTTTGATTCTTCGCAGACCACATATCAGTAGTAATGGCAACTCTCCCCTCAATTGAAGACAAACGCTTCTTCATAAATGATTTCTCTTATCCAGCATATTTTTTATTACAACCATGACAAATTGCAACAACTTTTTCGTCTATCAAGACCCTATCGAAATGATTTCACACCATAGATTTTAATCTTGTGGGCTTTTTCTCAGTATTGTTTGGATCTTCTTCAGGAGGGGATTGTGAAGAGGCTGAATCACTTACTTTGTAATACCCCGTATCAAGATGGGAATGGGAAGAGCTCAAAAGGATTGATAGTACTACTCATACCAACAAGGTGCATCTTCTTTTCGAGAGCTCATCACTTAGAAACTCCAAGGTTAAGCGTGCTTGACCTGAAGCAATTCTTGGATGGGTGACCCCCTAGGAAGTTTTCCTTGGGCGCGCACGAGTGAGGACAAAGTGTGCGGGAAAGACGTGTGTTGGTTTGTGGGGCCAGTCTACAATCCTATGAGCGGACACTTACGGCCAGGGTGTTACAAATGGTATCAGAGCAACCCTGCGACCGTGACGGACCAAAAGAGCTTAGTTCACCTAGCTGGGAAGATCTATGGGTTCAAAAAAAAGGATGCAACGAGGACGTTGCATTCCTAAGTGGGGGTGAATGTAATACCCCGTATCAAGATGGGAATGGGAAGAGCTCAAAAGGATTGATAGTACTACTCATACCAACAAGGTGCATCGTCTTTTCGAGAGCTCATCACCTAGAAACTNNNNAGCTTAGTTCACCTAGCGGGGAAGATCTATGGGTTCAAAAAAAAGGATGCAACGAGGACGTTGCATTCCTAAGTGGGGGTGAATGTAATACCCCGTATCAAGATGGGAATGGGAAGAGCTCAAAAGGATTGATAGTACTACTCATACCAACAAGGTGCATCTTCTTTTCGAGAGCTCATCACCTAGAAACTCCAAGGTTAAGCGTGCTTGACCTGAAGCAATTCTTGGATGGGTGACCCCCTAGGAAGTTTTCCTTGGGCGCGCACGAGTGAGGACAAAGTGTGCAAGAAAGACGTGTGTTGGTTTGTGGGCCAGTCTACAATCCTATGAGCGGACACTTACGGCCAGGGTGGGGGCCAGGGTGTTACAAATGGTATCAGAGCAACCCTGCGACCGTGACGGGCCAAAAGAGCTTAGTTCACCTAGCGGGGAAGATCTATGGGTTCAAAAAAAAAGGACGTTGCATCCCTAAGTGGGGGTGAATGTAATACCCCGTATCAAGATGGGAATGGGAAGAGCTCAAAAGGATTGATAGTACTACTCATACCAACAAGGTGCATCTTCTTTTCGAGAGTTCATCACCTAGAAACTCCAAGGTTAAGCGTGCTTGACCTGAAGCAATTCTTGGATGGGTGACCCCCTAGGAAGTTTTCCTTGGGCGCGCACGAGTGAAGACAAAGTGTGCAGGAAAGATGTGTGTTGGTTTGTGGGGCCAGTCTACAATCCTATGAGCGGACACTTACGGCCAGGGTGGGGGCCAGGGTGTTACATACTTTTTGTACTTCTACTCTTTGTGTAGCATGTTCTTTTTGTGTTGATTCAACATGATCACCCATCCTAAAAAGCAAAATGTATATATAAATTAAAACAACACTAAAAACTAGACAAAAAAAGGAGAAACCTTTTGAGTTATGCAGTCTCTATGCATAACTCAAATGGAGAATCCAGAGAGGGATCCAAACAATCTCAACATAGTCCAATACATTCTAAAGCCCAAAGAGAAATGGGATGATAGAGACTACAAGAAGCACAACATGGACAACGTCTCCAAAGCTGCCATCTTCAAGACACTAGATCCCATCACCTTTTCCAAAATCAATCATCTCAAAACTGCCATGGAAATATGGCAAGGTCTTGGGAAGCTGTGTGAGGGATCAGAGGATCTGAGAAAGCTGAAGATAGAGGTTCTGCTTGAGAAGTTCAAAAGCTTCAAAATGCTTCCTAGAGAATCATTTGACTTGCTGGATGAAAGATTCCACAAGATTCTAAATGATCTTGCATCACTTAACCACGTTCTTTCTCCCAAAGAAAAGAACATAAGGTTGCTGAGATCTCTTCCGACTGAGTGATACACCAAGGCCATAGCAATGGAAGAAAAAAGAAATCTGGAAAACTACACTGTCCAAGGTCTCCTAGACGAGCTCGGAACTTATGAGCACGAGCTGGAGAAGAAGAAGAAGGAAGAACAAGTCACCCCTTTTCCGACGAAGCTGATGACGAATCCCAGAGTCACAGCAAGCGAAGGGACTTGCCCAAGGAGCTGTGACACTTCTTCCACAAGCCAGCCATCAAACTCTAAGGCGGAGAACTACGAAGAGGAATTCGCTATAATGGTCAATCAATTCTGGAAGTTCAAGAAGTTCTTCAAGAAAACTGACTCCACCAGAAGTCATCCAAGGGAAAGCTACAGGTAAGTAACTCTCCCCCTGAATCTTACTTATGCTATAACTGCAGGAAACCCGGCCACTGGAAGTCAGCTTGTCCGTACCCAAAAGTGGAGAAATACGGAGAAGGAGAAAGGAACGAGAAGAAGAAAAAGGCAATGGTAGCAGCTGAGAGTGACGAGTCTTCTAGTTCCATCTCGGATGAGGAAGCCCTCGTCTGCATCAAACGCAGAACTGAGAAGTCCAACCATGCGGATCTTGGGCAATGTCAGAAGATGACACTCTTTGCCTAATGGCCAAAGATGATGCTGACCAAGAGGTAACTTCACAAACCTCCTGCTCATCTTCTTATAAAAGCATACCGACTTCTGAAGGTCTTTTTGACAAGTTCAAAAATATGATGGAAGATTTTGAGAAAATAAATCTCAAACACTCATCCTTGAAAGAGGAGAACAAGCTATTGAGTGATGAGAATTTCAAGTTGACTGAAGGTCGGAAAAGTCAACTCAATGAAATCACTCAACTCAAGGTTGAGAATGAATCTCTCTCTGAAAAGGTAAAAACTCTCAAGAAGGAGCTAGGGATACTAAAGTCCAAAGAAGCTGTGGATAAGCTTCTTGATACGACCAAAAAGAAGGGGCGTAAAAGACTTGGATTTGACCCCTCCGATTCCAAAAGGAAAGGGAGAACAACATTTATTCCTCCCAAACCTACTGCCAAACCCAATAAGCAGAAAGATAAGGAGAAGGAAACACCAACAGAAGTTCTCAAAAAGGTTGTCCCTCCTAAGAACTATAAGAAGCTGGATAAACCTAAAGGAGGAAACAATTTTAGAAGAAAACCGTCTAACCCTTTATTACAGACGAGGCTATACTCATTATGGGGTAGACAGAAGTTTTCCGAGAAATAGTGAGTGGAGAACTATGCCAAGGTATAGTCATCCTCTACCCCAAAAATTATTTGTTCCACCTAAGTATGCTTACAACCATAACAGGTCACACTATGCACAACCTAGACAAAAGTATAGGCCTCACCAACCTAAGTTTGCTAGGAGGAAACAGGAATTTACACCACCTGCACGTAGGAAATTCTATGCCTACAACTATGACTACAACCCCAACAAGTTTAGAGCTACAAGAAAAATTCCTTGCAACTTCAAACTTGATGTGGGGACAAACACCATTAACTATTCCGGACCCAAACTGAATTGGGTACCGAAATCTTCCTCCACCTAATGCAGGAAGCCACTAAGTACCCAGGTGTCTAGTACTTAGATAGTGGCTGTTCAAGACACATGACGGGTAATGCGAGTCTTCTAAGCAATCTAATTCCCTATGATGATCCAAGAGTTACTTTTAGAGGAAGCAACGATTTCGGCCTTACAAAAGGGCTAGGAAATCTGGTGTACAAGGGACTAACCATACAAGTTATATCTTATGTGGAAGATCTCAACTATAACCTTCTAAGCATAAGTTAGTTCTATGATAAAGGTTACTCTCTAAAATTCTACAAGGACATAGCATCTCTCAAGAACATCTCCACAAATGAAGTCATTTTCACTGGGAAGAGAATAATAAACATCTATGAAGTAATATGGGAAGATGTCAAGGAAACATGCGTGATCTGCATCTAACTTGTAACCTAGAAGAGGAGACCGAACTCCAAGTGATTTGTTGTCATCAGATATGTGCTCTCAAGAACGAAAGAAGAAATCTCATAGATCCATTTCTTGTTATCGGGCAATCTCATGGACATATTACTTGTTTTGAAGAACGAAGAGACAATATGTCTTTAGTGGTGTGTGTTCATATTTGTATTTAGTTGGGGGTATATTGGTCCATGTGTTATATAATACTACAAAATAGAAAGTGGACAAATACACTGAGACAGTCCAAAAAAAATACTGGACAAAAAGACTGAGCAGTATTTGTTAGAGACGAGTTCCGTTTATATACTCCGTGTGCATAACAGAAGTGAAGAAAACAATGTTTGAAATGCAATATCATGAAAATTTTATGAGATGACCTATCACTTAATATTTGGAAACCAGCGGCTATAACTATAACAAAGCCCATATATATCATCATAATCAATCTAAATAAGAACAGCTATTATTCATATCTCCAGGTTGAAAACAACCCACAACTCAAAGAATGGAAGGTCGTAAACACCCATGATCAAAGAAGCTCCAACAAGCAAACACATTCAATGTGAGGAGTATGTGGGAACATGTCTACCGGTTGCAATTTACAAAGCTTGTAACGTCCAATTATATTTCGCTCCGGCTGTGATTGAATTGTATCTGATTAGCTTCCAAAACAAATGAATTGAGTGACAATGTGAGAAAGAGAGAGAACATGGAATACTTACCACTCCAAAACAGAGGATATTAAGGTCACGAACACAAGTGGCGGGATTGCAAGATACATAAATTATGCGTGGAGCTTTCAACATAAGCAGAAACTTGATCAGTTTCAGGTGCATTCCAGGACGATTTGGATCTACAGGGTGCGACATAAGGGACTACTTTAGCAAACCTTCGGAGGAATTAGAAGTTAAAAAGAAACCTCCACCGAAAGAGTTCAATAAATGAAGACCTGTGATAACAATGTCAGGCCTGGGAAAATTGCTGCCAAAATTTCCATCAATCTTACTAAGATCTCTTTCGATGAATGTCGCATTGCAGATTCCATTGAGCTTAGCATTCTGATTTGCATCTGAGATTGCTTGAGCAACCACTTCATACCCATAAACGTGTCGCACTCTATCAGAACAGAAATATTGATCAGTGTGGTGTCAGGAGAACATCATCTTTCCAGTAGAAACAACAGAGGAAACTTACTTTTTGGCAAGTGTTAAGCCAATGGTACCAGTCCCGCAGAATAGGTCAAGAACAACTTCTGAGCCATCTCCTTTGAGAGAGGCATAATCCTCGATTAATTTGTAAAGAATCTCTGCCTGCAAGTGGAGTTACACTTCAAAACCATAGAAGTTGATGACTGCAAAAGGGAAAAACTTATGATATTTGTGCCCCTTCACCTGGTGTGTGTTTGTCTGGAAGAAAGAGTTTGCTGAAATCTGAAAAGTAAGCCCTCGTAAAATCTCTATGATGGATGATTTTCCATACAATGTGTATTCTTTCTCCCCAACAGATGTGTTGCCTATAGAAGTATTCACGTTATTAACAATGCTTACCTGTTTAAGATCAACATGGCAAAATCTTATTGAAACAACCACACATATTTGTGCAAGGAAAACTTACGCAATCTACTCCCTTAGCCCTCAAATAATTGTAGTTTAAAAATCTTAAACGCATTAAGGATTCAATTTTTATTTGCAAAATCAAAATAAAAGTACTATAGCCTGACTATTATTTCCCTCTTTAATGCATTTACATTATACAAAGTACAACGAGTACATTTATAGGTGATTCTCATGATACTCGAAAGTCAAACATAACCTATATAAAAGTTGAGAATAAGTTTGTTTCACTGAAATCACAATTATTTGGAAACGAAGGGAGTAACACAGATAAATGATATAAATCATTTGTACGATTGCACCACGTCAGCTTTTCAAAATTGGGGCATAGTTGTTTCTCACTTTCCGTGAATACAGCACAAAATACTGACAGTTACTGTGTTTCAGGACAGCTTACCACTTCAGGGATAACTGCTATTTTGTCCACAATGGGTTTCAATAGCTCCGGTTTGTAGGATGAGGTCACAAAATTAACCATAAGCTCAGGAAGACCAGTTTCACCACTCCTGAAGCAAACATATTGAATAGTTTATCTAAGTCAGATCTGTTGAACTTTGTCTGAATATCAAACTTGCACATTGATTCAGAGACAACTCCACAAAATGCATCCATTTGTTGAAGACCCGTGCTATTTGGTCTCTAATACAGTTCTGGTAGATCTTTTTCTTGGCTCTGTAGAGCGTTAGTTAGTAGTTACATCTTCCCATCCCTCAAATCGATTAAGAAAATTGGTTGCATTATAACAGTATTAACAAATGACAAAACTAAACCTGAGAAACAAAATCAATTTAACATCGCTGTCACACAAGCGGGAAATACTAATAATACTCGCTTTGTCTCTAAATGAAGTTTTGGTTGCGGTTTACGATTTTTCAACAAGATTATTTTTAATACAATTTATATGAAAAAAATTAGGGTAGAACTAAAAAATATAATTTATATAGAACTTAAAAACTACTCCCTCCTTCCAAAATTAATTGGCACAGTTTGATATCTTAAAGTTTAAGAAAAGTGTTGAAAAGTAAAAAGTAAGTGGTTGAAATTTATTTAGAAAAAAGAAAAATTGTGGACCACATATTCATTACTTTACTAAGAAAATAAAGAAGTGCGACTATTTTTTGGGATAGACTGAAAAGAAAAGTGAGAAAATTAAATAGGGACACATGGAGTACATCAAAAGTTTTACAGGACAAGAGAAGATATGAGTATATTATTTACCAAATGATCAATAAAAATATGTAAGAAAAGAAAATATAGTGAATAGTGAACATGAATTTCTTCAAGGGACGTAGGGAGTGTAAGAAATAATAGAAGAACCTGCCACTTCTCAGCATAAGATGCTTAAGAAATCCATTATGAGAGCGGACATCGTAGGGAGAAAGATCAAACTTCGGATCCCTCCAATATTCTTGAACAGTTGCAAGAACCTAAATCATAATGAGATGCATCGTTCATATATGAAAGGGTTTTACAGCTCTCAATTGGAAAACCAAATACTGTTCAACCTAAGCAGTCAACAATTTTATATGGATAGTGTCTTGCCGAAGTGAGAAATTTGATTGTTCATTTCATGTACATGTGTATCTACATGTACTCATTTCCCTCAACCATAAGGGTGTGTGTCTGTATATAGACACGCACACACACACATCTAATCTTACACCATTTTTTTACACCAATTCTTACACCGAAATTATCTTTCGTGCAGAACTCATTTCCCTAGATTGTTGCATCTGTTGCCTAGTCGACTAGGAGTCCTGACTGACAGTGATGCTGCGTCTCTCCTTGACTCCGTTACAATTAAGAATCCGGTTCACCTAGAAAGCCCAGTTACACTCCTACATTAATCCTAGTACTCTAAGCTCGCCTATAACCAACCTCTTGCACTTCCTTGTGCATCTTATCTCCTACGGATGTCGCTCCCATCTTGTCTAGAATTTCTTCAATTCTAACCCTATCCCTTCTAACAAACTCCGCACATCCACCTAAGCATCCTCATCTAAGTCACTCTCAGCTTATGCATGTGGATTTTCTTTAACGGCCAACACTGTCACATACAATGTAGCTGGAGAGAGAATTACATATTTTTGAATTAATTATAAATATTTTAACACAATTATTTTTTAAAATTACTTAAAATTACAAATAAAATTTAATAATCAGATTAATTAACATACTAAGTTATTTTAGTGTAGTTATTTGAATCTCAATTTTAAAATTAAACACTTTTAAGTGTATACTTGGTCCGTCCCTGAGTGTTTATCCACTTTTGACTTTTGGAACTGTTCATCTAAGCACTTTGACTTATCAAATTCTCTCAATGTGTAAGCCTAAAAATAGTCATGTGTGATCTTGTTTGATTCGTCTTAACATATAGATTATTAATATCTAATTTTTATAATTTTTTAATATACAAATTACAAGATAAAATGGATTAAAGAAGTGCATTGGATGGTGTGCAAAAATGAAAGTGGACAAACACTCAGGGACGGAGGGAGTATTCATTACCCTATGTCCCAAACTAGGATAGTTCGGTTTACGATGGTCGAGTAAATTTATATCCAATCCAATTTACTTTAAAGCTGGTGTAGAACTATAACATTAAATTTGTATATGTAAAAACTAAATCAAAACTTCTACAAAAGCAGAGATGGTATGATTATATTATTTGGTCAAATTATCGATGAAAATATGTAAAGAAATAAGATAGAGATTGACCCTAAGAACAATAATTGTGTTTTCCAATTTGGAATGCAGAGAGCATTTATATTTCTAATCACATTAAAAAGTAAAAATAATTATTTATTTAGATTGGGTCACGGCCTAGTCGTCCCGGAGTAGAGTGTTTCAAACAAGGTCAAAAGCTCTCGCAGAATTCTTGTCCCCAAAACCAA